ACACTTGCTGGGTCACTGGTACGACCCTGTCGGCTTTACTTCTGGGTAACATCGTGCTTATGTTCTAGGAGACGAGGGCGGTGATCAAGCATCAGTGTACAGACTGTCATCGCGTCTGTAACAAAATGTGGCCTACTGAACCTCCACGTGAGCCCTAGGACCGCAGTCACCGCATCATATGTAGGTAATTCTGTCTGAGAGTGGGCGGTTAGGCGGTGACGGACCATTGTCGAGTGCAGATGCAAATGCAAGTCCACCAGAATGCCTAGTAGTGGGGTGACCATATTGACACAGGGGACCAGTTGGGTTCGTTCCGGGCTGGCAGGGGGGGCATTGGGGGCAAGCAGGGCGGGGGCAGTTTGGGGGCAAGCAGGCCAGCAGGCAGAGTGGTTAGGGGCAATCAGGCAGGCAGGCAGGTGAGCAGTTAGGAGCCAGCAGTCCCAGATTGCGAGAAGGATGTCCGACTGCCAGTTTAGGCCCGATCCCTGTAAACCAGTAGGACATCCTTAGAGGGGTCCCAGATTAGAGAGGGTACAGGCCGGGCTGAGGGACACACACACACACATCCTTACCCCCCCCCCACACCCCCATGCACGAATTTCATGCACCGGGCCACTAGTAATGATATAATTAAGGTTAGACTGTGTGAAGTGTATAAGAAAAGTACTAATACAAGTCAAGTATTAAAGGCTACAGAAACTTGGAAAAGAGATATTTTCTGGATACAATATTTCAAGGATGCTCTAAGATGAAGAAGGCATTTAACCCGCATTTTTAAATACTAAATTAGCTGAAATGAAATTGAATGAAGTGTGTAAGCATAATGAGAGCAAATGAATGGTGTTTGGAAAATGTAGAAAAGAGCATGTTTCATCTGACTAAATATGTCAGGGGTGATAAATATCCTATCTAATAAAGAGGGAATATGCTAATTAACCCTCACACCATCGCAAAGATGGTGGCGCCCACAGACAATAAGGAGGGGATATGCTAATTGACTACCCCACCCTCAAAGATGGCAACACCCAGTCCCCTCAGCCCCACTGGGGTGGCAGGCCGGCCTTGCCGAGGGCCTGCCTCTGGAGTCCTTCAGTCCCCTCAGCCCCCCAGCCTCCCAGGGCCAGCCCGAGGCACAGGCAAGCCTTGGATGGCAGCTGCCCAGCCGCCCAAGGCCACCCGAGACTCAGGTAACCAGGCCCGCCCAAGGCTTGCGCTGCTGGCAGTGACAGCAGCAGAGGTGTGATAGGGGCATCACCTTCCTCTGATCACCGGGTCACCTCCCGCCCCTGAGGGCTCCTGGACTGTGAAAGGGGACAGGCCAGGCTGAGGGATTCCCCCCCCCCCCAGTGCATGAATTTTCATACACCGGGCCTCTAGTATGTAATAATATGAAATAAAATTAGTAAAGTAGATTGGTTCCTGATTATGAAACTCCCGGAAGCCATGCTCAGAAGTTTGAACTTAATGTTCTATCATCTTTGGGGGATCACTGAAGGCTTTTTAGTAGAGCATTACTTGTGAAGGGCTATGTATTAGGGAAATCTGGCAGCAGATACTGAATTCTCCAAGTTTAAGGGCTTTTGAGTAATGATAGTAGAAAATGCAGCCTAGACGTTAGTTGCAAGAATGTTACAGATATAATGTGTGATACCCCTGCCTTTAAGGAATGGAGAAGAGGAAACAGTCATATAACCATGCCTGAAAGCAATGATGGTGTTAACACATTGTGTACCACTCAGGAGTTTTCTCGTGTTTCGCGCGCCATCTGTTAAGGACCGCTCACGAGTGTTCTCGTTTTTCACGCGCCATCTGTTATGGACCTTAGATGTCAACACACTGTCTTGTCCACTATGGGGCGCTGAAGGAAGGAAATTGCAAGAAACTGTTCTTTCAGTCCTTGGACCCTATCTTGGCATATGGCACCATATTTACCAGGATAATTATTACAATGCTACATCTACTGTTGAATTGCTGCTACAGAACAAAACTAGAGTCTGTGGGACTACTAGGGAGAGTAGAGGTTTACCGCCAAATTTGGAAATGAAAACATCAAGAATGAAGAAAGGTGACATAATATTTTCCAGAAAAGGCGATATTCTCCTAGCATGGGAAGACAAGCGGGTTGTCCGAATGATATCAACGATCCATGACACTTCTGTCTCGACAACAGGAAAAAAAAAAAAGAAAAACAGGAGAGAATATTGTAAAACCTACCTGCATCAAGGAATACAATGCCCACATGAAAGGCGTTGACCGTGCGGATCAATTCCTTTCGTATTTCCATTCTAAGGAAAACGATGAAATGGACAAAAAAAGTAGTGCTGTACCTTATAAACTGTGGACTTTTCATTTAGAGTGTACAACGTCCTCAATCCACAAGCAAAAATGAAGTATAAACAGTTTCTGCTATCGGTGGCGAAAGACTGGATAACAGATGACAATAATGAAGGCTCTCCGGAACCAGAGACAAATCTGTCCAGCCCTTCCCCTGGGGGTGCAAGGAGAGCACCTCGTAAAGATCCACCCAAGAGGTTGTCAGGTGATATGAAGCAGCATGAACCTAAGCGTATTCCAGCGAGTGGAAAGAAAAAATTTCCTATGAGAGCCTGCAGAGTTTGTGCCGCCCATGGAAAAAGGAGCTAAACTAGATACTTATGTAAATTTTGTTTGGCCCCTCTTCATAGAGGAAAATGTTTTACGCAGTACCATACGTTAGAAAAGTACTAGGAACTTTAATTGTTTAATTGTTTTTGTAAATAAAAATGTTATAATTATAATTATTGAAAAACAACACCTAAAGTGCATTATGATCTGTAGTTATGATGATTTAAATAACGTGCAATTTGCCCAAAAACGTGCGGTCCCTGGCGTATGTCTTAGACATTTCGGTGCGGTACGCAATGTGTTAAGAGAACAAATAGACAAGGAAGGACAAGTTTGTTTTAGTTAGGTGGAATTTGAAGAAATGACAAAACCATCAGATAGACATATTCATTAGATAGTTGGGATCTTTAGCTCAAGTGAGAAACAAAAGCTAGATTATAAATGGGATATATGTCTACATTAAACATAATTATTGAAGAAAGTGATTCCATCCAGGGGGAAAGAATAAGAAAGGAAAAAATATGAGCTAGCTGCAGGAAGATTGTGATGTGAGCAAAGGAGAAAGGTGGGAGGAGATGTAGAGACTGCAGTTCCCAGGAGCCCAGGAATAATACAATTTCATGAAGGAGAAGTCTGGCCAGCAGTTTAAATGCTGCAGATATGCCGAACCGGTTTGGCTCAGTGGATAGAGCGTCTGCCTGCGGACTCAAGGGTCCCGGGTTCGATTCCGGTCAAGGGCATGTGCCTTGGTTGCGGGCACATCCCCACTGGGGGGCGTGCAGGAGGCAGCTGGTCGATGTTTCTCTCTCGTCGATGTTTCTGACTCTCTATCCCTCTCCCTTCTTCTCTGTGAAAAATCAATAAAATATATTTAAAAATAAATAAATAAAAAAATAAAATTTAAAAAAAAAAAAATAAATGCTGCAGATATAAAAGATTAGAACAGAACATTTGCCCCTTCTTATCCCATTCATTCTGTCACTAAGTCCTGTTAATTCCAAAATTTCTTAATCTCTTTGCTAGCCATCACTGCCATTGCCTAAGGACAGATGCAGTCTCTTTTCTTCAGTGCTATTGTGAAAGCTAGATGCCTTTCTGCCAGTCTCTTCCTATACCTTCTTAATACCAGCATTACTAGTTTAAAAGATAGTCTGATCTTGTAAGTTCCTGGCTAGGCAACCTCCAGTCACAGCCAACCCATACTTAATTGAGTCCATACTCAGAGCATAATCTTTCACCATGTAATCCAGTCTCCCTTTTCTGTCTCTCCCACACTTATCCTGAGCTCCAGCTGCATGGCGCAGATTTGCCATCCTTTCATATTTTCATCCTTCCTCTGCTCAGAATATCATTCCTTTCTTAACTCACCCATCACAACTAAACCAAATTACATTCTTTTCCTATTCTACTAACGCTTTCCATCATCATACAGTTTTAAACAGGGTTAAAAAAAAACAACTGTGGCCCAAATCCGGCCTCTGCCTGTTTTTGTATGGCTTGCAAGCTAAGAAATGCTTTTACATTATTATAAGGTGGAATAAAAATCAAAAGAATATTTCATGATATGAAAAATGGGATGAAATTCAGTTTTACTGGTACATAGCCATGGTCATTAGTTTATATTATTGTCTATGACCACTTGTCCACACGGCAGAGTTGAGAAGTTGAAACAGAGACTATTCTCAAAGTGCAAAATGTTGACTAGCCTTTTCACTGAACATTTGCCAACTCCAGTCCATATCTTTATTATGGCACTTACGAGTACCTAAAAGTCTTAGCACTTTTAAGAGAACACCTATTTAAAACCTTTTATTTATTTTATCATATTAGTAGAATAATTTAAGCTGATTTTATATGTAATATATACAATATTAAATTTTTCCCATTAATAGGTCTTTTTGTTTCCTACCCAAGGTAGCTCTCAATGGTAGATAACTTGGGATATTTGCTAAATATTAGAGAAAAATTCCTGGAGAATATAAAATTCTGTCTTCAAATTGGGCAAAAATTGTTATTAATTTATATTAGTAAAAGAACATCTCAGTTCTTCTGATTCCTTGGAACCCAGTGATCCTTGGAGCCATAAATTTGAGGATTATGGGAAGAAGAGGTTTTTGTTGGAGCAAACTGTTTTTCAATGGCAGGGATTGTGTTTTATGTATTTTTATTTCTCTGGCACCTGACATAGTACTAGGCACATAGTAATCATTAATAAATTTGAATTAAGGTCTGCCCCAGGAAATTATCCCATAGGTGCTTTGGAATATTGTTAATAACTACCACAGTTTTATTGCTATAGCTTAAAAATTTTTAAATCATATACTACTATTAGTCACTGTTACTATAAAAAGGTTTCATATATGTTCTAAATATTCTTTTCTCTTTATAAAGTTCTTATGACGTAATATTTATTCATTTAAAAAAACAATCTATTTTCATAAATGTTTTCACTCTTTTGTCTTTAAATTAGGAATCTGAAGAACTTTCTTCTGATGAAGAGATGAAAATGGCAGAGATGCGACCACCATTAATTGAAACCTCTATTATCCAGCCAAAAGTGGTAGCACTTAGTAATAGCAAAAAAGGTTAGCTGTGAAGGAAAGCTCTGAGATTAGAAATGAGCTGAATAAAATGTATAATTGTTTTGGAATATCATTAAATGTCATTATGTTATTTAAAACACTTTTTAGCAACAATTTTTAAAACATACTTTTTTGAAAGGTCTTTTTCTTCTCTCTCTTGTTTTTAAAGGAAAATCTTGATAGACCTTTTTTCTTCCCTCATGCATGTCTACTTACAAGGACATGGACTTTATAGGGAGACAAGTCTAGATTATGATTCCATTTCTACCACTTATTTACTGTATGATCCTTGAGGAGCCTAATTTTATCCATGTGTACATATCTAATTTGACATAAAGTAAGGCTAATGAAGGAGTTTGTGAATATTAAATATACTAGATTATTCAATGTACTGAAACCTAGCCCAATACTGGATGTATAGTAGATGTTTGTTATTTTATCTATCCCAGAACTTATTTTAAACCATTCTTTTTCCAGCCATTCTTTCATTTAACATAAAAGGGGACTTGAAGGATATCTGTCTCTTACTTTTAACCTTCCCTCACTCCTCCCCACTAGTGTCTGAACATCTCTATATTACCTCCAACAAGTATTGATCCAGCTATTGCCTTTATGGCATTAATGAAATTTGCTAGCAAGGTGCTCCTCAAATAGCTTGGATTTCATAATAATAATGATGGTAATATATGTTGAATACTTACTAATTGCTACTTGCTATATGCTAAATATTTTACATGTTATCTAATGATCACAATTGTCCCATGATTTGGAATTGGAAGAAGGAGGATATATCTAGGAAAGAAATTGTTACAGATAGTTTAACATTATTTTAAAAATTCATAATCTGAGACCCTAATACCTTAAAGTTGAATTAGAGAGCCCTCTGCTACTGTTTTTAACTGTAAACACAATCTAGACTACTTGAACTGAAATATTTGGAACAGCAAAAATATCCTTAATTCAGATTCATGTAATCTATGACTGTATCTATATATATACTCTTTCTATGATTTGGCTAGAATTGAGTTAGTTAAAAACATTCTTGAGGGTTCTAAGATATTATGTTATCTTTTTTATCACTACTTTTAAAAATACTATTTATTCTACCTACCTATACTGGAATATGAATATTGTCTATTTCTGTTTATATTATTGTTACACATAAAGCCATCTCACATATGAAGAGTTCAGTATTCATGTACAATTTTTTGAAATGATTTAAAAATATGAAGAGAGAGCTGACCTTGTGAAAATTTCTTGATTTGTTTGGTGGTTGTTTTTTGATTGACTGAATTGCTCATTTTTATTGTCAGAATAGATAAAAACAATTCCTTACATGTATGATATAATTTCTCCCCAAGATAAGTTTACATAAGGCTATAAACTATACTTTGAAATGAGTGGGAAAGCATATTTACTAAAACTAACCCATAGCCTTAGAACACATTGAATAATATAATCTTGTCAGTAATTCAAACTAATAAAATTCTGGGTAACCTAACTTTGGTTATATTTTTAAAAAGTAAAGGTATCTGTCACTATTTTAAAATTCTTTCATGTTTGTGTGTATTAAGGCTGAATTTTTATAGATGCCTCTGGTTATCTATTAATTTATATAATTCTTTACCTTATACGTTGAACCAGGGCAATATAAAATGCTATTTGTCATCACTGGGAAGTATTTCACACAGGATTTTTGGTGACTTTATCAGTGGCTTGAGTTTTTTGTTTGTTTCTTTCTTTCTTTCAGATGATACAAAGGATATAGATTCTTTATCAGATGAAGTTACACACAATAGCAATCAGAATAATAGCAACTGTTCTTCTCCATCCCGGATGTCTGATTCAGTTTCTCTTAATACTGATAGTAGTCAAGATACCTCACTCTGCTCTCCAGTGAAACAAACTCACATTGGTATTAATTCCAAAAGAAGGTTTGTAAATATCTTAACAAAATAATTTATTTTTACAAAAAATAGAGCTAGAAATGCAAATAAATATATATGACCAACCTAAGGATTTCACAAATATTATAGAAGTGGTTCAGGCAGTATATGGTTTCTTCTCCACTTTATTACTAATTATTTTAGCTTTTATACCTTTCCCTTTTAGTTTTTTAAGGGGGCGGAGAAAAGATTTAAAATATGTTCTTATTTTCTTCATTAAAAGGTTGAACAGTTCTAGATATTACAACATAAATAACCTATTTTGGGGTAATTCAATTAGAAACTGATACTTTTAGGATTAGAAATGCAAGATCATTTTGGGGTGATGCCCCAAATTAAAGGATTTATTTAAATACTTTTGATTAGTGATGTATCTTTGGATTAGACTTAAATTTATAGGTCAACTTTTCTAAAAAGGCTTAATTCCTACATGTTGGAATTTAGCTGAAGTTTAAAACGAATTTATTATTTGGGCTCTCAAGTTTGGTTATCAAAGTAAGATTGTACCATTTTACTTTGATGTTAATCTATCAGGTAGAGTATTTGATAGAAAGATTTGGGTTACTACTGAACCCAAAGCTTAATGTATGGATATTGCTAAATATTTTTTAGAGTTCAATTGTTGTTATGCTCCAGGCGACATAGTTAAGTCAAATTTTTGTATGTATTGATTCATATTGTTGGAAAAGAAAAATGCCTTTTTTATCTCAAAATGAGTTTAGCTGTTATGTAGTTGTAATTATGATTAATCATTTATATCTGTTCTCTGAATTTGAGGTTAAGACCCAGTATGGTAAATTATTAATTTTTATAACCTTTTAGATGTTAAGATAATGAGTAATTTGTTGAATAATAAAATTTTACTGATGTTGGGAAGTAGTTTAGTATATTCTAAATCATGTTTTTTATATAATGAAATAAAGGCTAAGAAAGATATAGCTGTATCTCTGTTGTATTTCTAATCATGAGTATTTGTTACCTAATGGGAAGATTAATATTAAGGAATATTTGTTGAAATATAACTTGACTACTTTTTGAAATACAATTCGAAGACACAATCATGTTTTCATATTACCAAGCAGAAATAAAGTATTTTCTGTAATTTTGGAATATCACCTTTAAATATTTCCCAAATTCAATGTAGATTAAGTTTACTTTCAGGTTTTTGTGTATTTTGTTTGTTTTTTGTGTGTTTTGTTGTTGTTGTTGTTAACCCTCATCGAGGATATTTTTTTCCATTGAATTTTAGAGGAAGAGGGAGGTAAGGAAGGAAAAAGAGAGAGAGAGACATCACTGTGAGAGAGACACAATGATTGGTTGCCTCCCACATGAGACCCCACTGGACCAGGGATCACACTTGCAACCCAGGTAACATGCCCTTGACTAGGAATCAAACCCGAGACCCTTTGGTGCACAAACCAACACTCTAACCATTTAGCAACATCAGCCAGGGTTAATTTCAGTTTTGATATTTCATATTTTGTAGAGCTATTGTTTAGTTCTTTATATAATTTCCTTATCTATATATTTGAATCTAATAACAGTTATTATGATAACTATAGCTAATATAAGGTTTCGGAATTATTCATAAAAATGTTCTGTGCGTTTTACTCAACTGTTCAAATTATTGGCTCTTTCTCCATGTATCTGCCCATCTTTCAAGCATGTCATATTTTAAAGTGTATTTTTATTTATTTCAGAGAGGAGGGGAGAGGGAAAGAGAAACATCAATGATGAGAGAGTACCATTGATCGGCAGCCTCCTGCATGCCTCCTATTGGGAATCAAGCCCGCAATCCAGGCATGTGCCCTGACTGGGAAAGAACCGTGACACTCGACCACTGAGCCACACCGGCAGGGCAAGCATTTCATATTTTAGCACAGTTGTGAAAAGCTGTACCAGAAGAGGACACATAATTTTTTTCTTTACTTAGCTCAAACTATATTGTGACTAAGTGATTTATGACATTGATGAAAATTAATCTTGATTATAAATTTTCAGATAGTTTTACTTTTCTCCATTTAATATAAATCTCCCATTACTAAGAAAACTGGGCTTTATGATGTTTTTGATAACATTATTTTTGTTTTAGGCAAGAAGATGAAAATTTTAACAGCCTTTTACAAAATGGAGATATTTTAAACCATTCAACAGAGGAACAATTCAAGGTTCATGATAAAAAAGATTTCAACTTACCTGAATATGATTTGAATATTGAGGAACGATTAGTTCTTATTGAGAAAGGTATTGACTCAATAGCCACATCTGATGAATCTCACAAATTAGACCATATCAATATGAATCTTCATAAACTTATAACCAATGATACATTTCAACCAGAGAGAATAGAAAGATCAAAGGCACAGGATATCATGTTTGGAACGGCCTTTTTAAGCGTTAATGCTAAAGGACAAGCTGAGCGCTTGGAAAATGGAAACAAGTGTCCTAATCTGGAATGTGTAAATAAGGTGAATGGACATTCTGAGGAAACTCCACAGTCTCCTCGGAAGACTGAGCCCCAGGACACTGATCCTTCTATTGATATGGGTATTTCCAAGAGCACCGAAGATCTCTCCCCTCAGAGAAGTGGGCCAGTTGGGTCTGTTGTAAAATCTCATAGCATAACTAATATGGAGACTGGAGAGCTAAAAATCTATGACATTCTTAGTGATAATGGACTTCAGCAGCCAAGTGCAACAGCTAAAGTCACATCTATTGATGGAAAAAATATAGTCAGGAGCAAGTCAGCTACACTTTTGTATGATCAACCATTGCAAGTATTTACTGGTTCTTCTTCATCTTCTGATTTAATATCAGGTACAAAGGCAATTTTTAAGTTTGATTCAAATCATAATCCTGAAGAGCCAAATATAAGAGGCCCCGTAGCAAGTGGTCCACAATCTGCGCCTCAGATATATGGTCCTCCACAATATAACATCCAGTACAGTAGCAGCGCTGCAGTCAAGGACACTTTGTGGCACTCCAAACAAAATCCCCAAATGGATCACGTCACTTTTCCTTCTCAGCGCCTTCCTCGATCAGAGAGCACAGAAAACCACAGTTATGCTAATAAACATTCTGCCAATATGAATTTCTCTAACCATAACAATGTTCGAGCTAATACTGGATACCATTTACATCCAAGACTTGGCCCAGGAAGACATGGGGAAATGTGGGCCATCTCACCAAATGACCGACTCATTCCTGGAGCAACTCGAAATACAATTCAGCGACAAAGTAGTGTGTCCTCTACAGCCTCTGTAAATGTTAGTGAGCCAGGTCCCACAAGGCGGGCCCAAATCCCTGAAGGAGATTATTTATCATACAGGGAGTTACATTCAGTGGGAAGAACTGCTCCAATGATGTCAGGATCACAGAGACCTCTTTCTGCACGAACATATAGCATTGATGGTCCAAATACATCTAGGCCTCAAAGTGCTCGACCCTCAGTTAGTGAAATACCAGAGAGAACTATGTCAGTTAGTGATTTCAATTATTCACGGACTAGTCCTTCAAAAAGACCAAATGCAAGGGTTGGTTCTGAGCATTCTTTATTAGATCCTCCAGGAAAAAATAAAGTTCCTCATGATTGGCGAGAACAAGTACTACGACATATAGAAGCCAAAAAGTTAGAAAAGGTAATTAAACATGTATTTTTTCATTCTCACGAATTTACTGATTTTCTTTTACAAATTTGGCATTCTTGGGGTTTTTTTAAAACAAGGTGAAACAAGATACTCTGGATTATTGAATATATAGGATGTCCTTAAAAAATGTATGCATACACTTTGAATAATTATAATGGCAGTGTTTATTAAAATACATTTCATTTTCAAAATTGAGCTATCAGCTGTTGAAAATGTATACATTTTGGGGGGACACCCTATATATTTATATTCTAGGAGTTTTTCCTTGATGCTGACAATAGAGTTCCAAGTTCCGACTTGTCAGACTGAGAGCAGTTGAGATGGTAGTATAAGCTTCTCTTCCTTCTCTTACTCCCCAATATTTTTTTGATAGGCTTACATTCATTTTATTTATTTTTGTGTATGATTTTTAGATTGTGCCACACATACTATGAATAATACATGTATATACATATGTACCTCTGTTTAGCATTTTCTGACCTCTTGTCATCTATTAATAATTATGTAAATATGTATGCAAAAAATAAGCAGTTTATTGTACAGTTAACAGAAAAACAGATGTACTGTAAATGTAAATATTTCATCTAAGATTTTTTCCCCCCAGTTATATGACTAACACTGTCACTGACACAGATGGCTTCTGGCATGGCATTACTCTTTTCGAATTGCATTTGTGACCTATTTAAACTCACTTGTCTGGCTCTACTATAGTGTATAGATGTTTGTTTTTTGAAAGAAGTTAACATTTTTAAATATCCTGTAAAACTCATATATTAGTGTCACAGTTCTGTGCTCAAATGTATAAGGCATATTCTTTCTTTAGGATTTAGCTTGGTACCTCTCAGTGGATTTTACCCAAGAATTATCTTACCTCTGTTTATTAAATATAAGATACTGGTTTTTTAAAAATATACAACCTCAGTTAGTCATTATTTTAAAAAATTCCTTAAGTCGAATTTTTCAGAAATAAATACCTAAAATATAGTTAGTACCTTATATCAATCCACATTGCATCTCTGCCTGTAATTGTTAGCTCTATGCAATGCTGTCCTCTCAACTTTAAATAACTAAGCCACCTGTAAGGTTAGGTAACTTCATTCTCATCTATTTATTGTGTTTCAGCTATAACTTTGTACATACAGTTGAGGTTCTTTGAACTTGTATGTTTTTGCTGACAAATTTGGAAATCTCTTAAGCAGAGAAGTAATATAGCTGTTTTATAAATAAACTTCTGGTGTGGTACTGGGTTTGAGGAGGAGAGGCAACAGAGTTAAGTTGACTGGGTGATGAAGCCATCTAGTAGTAGTCCCGAAAATACATGAGAATATATTAGTGGAATTGAGGGAAAGAAATGAATTTAAGAGGCAGTTCTGAAATAGACTTGATAAGAATTTACTTTTGATTGTAATATTCCTATAATCAGCCATTGAATCAAGAAATTAAACTTGAGATTGGTGCCTGGAATAACTAACTGGTTTTGAGGAATGCCAGTAACTACTACTGAACATAGAGGAGGAATAGCAGATTTGGAGGATGAGATGAGTTTGTTTACTATACTATACTATACTATACTATACTATACTATACTATCTTATATAATTAAAGGCTAATATGCAAATCGACCAAATGGTGGAACGACCAGTCGCTATGATGCCTACTGACCACCAGGGGGCAGACGCTCAATGCAGGAGCTGCCCCCTGGTGGTCAGTGCACTCCCACAGTGGGAGCGCCGCTCAGCCAGAAGCTTTGCTCACAGCTGGTGAGTGCAGCGTTGGTGGCGGGAGCCTCTCCCCCCTCCGTGGCAGTGCTAAGGATGTCCAATTGCAGGGAGCAGGCCTAAGCGAGCAGTCAGACATCCCTTGAGAGAAGCCGGGCTCATGGCTGGCAAGTGCAGTGGCAGTGGTGGGAGCCTTTCCCACCTCTGCGACATCCCCCAAGGGGTCCCAGACTGCAAGAGGGCGCAGGCTGGGCTGAGGGACCTCCCCCACCCCCAGTGCACGAATGTTGTGTACCAGGCCTCTAGTATATTAATATTAGTTGACATCTCCAATGGCTATTTTCCCATTACTTTCCTATCTGACAGAGAGTGCCTGGACTTTAGTAAATGGAAGCAAGTAGCAGCCACTACATTGTTCATTGTGCCTCTCTGCTTTTTATATTTAGAAATTTGCCATACGGTTGCTTGGAGAGTATATGAAAGTAGTGTCTCAATTTTGCGCACTGGTAATTTAGAGATGAGAATTGAAGTGAAACTAGGAAATGCATAGGGCAATGTGATGTAGACTCCAAACTGGAAAGTATTGATTGACAATGGTGGAGGTTGATGAAAGATCTCTATTTGCTCCTCTGTAATCCCCCTTTCCTCCCCAAAACATAATTCTGATGGCATGGTGGATATTTGAAAAATTTCTTCAGGGAATTTCACAATGCCTTTCCTACCTCTAGGGGTAAGTCCCCCAATCAAAAGTTGCTACTTTGCCCAGCTGGGAGTTTATTAATAATACAGAAATAGATAAGTTATTGACCCTTACTTGGTTTTGAAACGTTGTGGTAGTCACACCTGTCCCACCCCAACAAACTATCTAGAATCCACACATATAAAATAGGTTTCACCTCAAAAATCTCAAGACTTATTTATAAATAAAATTTAACAACACTGAAAATGAATAAAATTTTTTATTTCAAAGTTGAATTAAGTCAGCATTTGCTAATAGTACTTATTAAATTAAAACAACTTAGATACGTAAGCACTCAACCAGATATGATTAAAGATTAACACAACATGACAATTTTTATGTTCAGTTGCTCTTATGCAACTGTTTGCATGTAATGAACAACAGTGCTCAGGACATTTGCCGAGCACTGTTCTGTTCAGTGTTTCCATGTGTTGTGATGGAGTGCAGTTTTATATGAGTGTCTGAGCACAAGCCTGAATTAAAAACCAGACCTGTTCTGAGCATAAGCCTTCTTATTCAGTGAAATATTTACAAAACGTCATATGTGTTCAAAGATGGCATAATAGGCTTTGTTTCAAATCTACATGTCCTTAAACAGGGTCAGTCAGTCCACTCAAGTTAACAACATGTTAAAACAAACCATGTGTATGTAACTGTGTGTATAATTTCTTTATTTTTACATTCTAACCAGCTGTTTATGGAACCTCTGAATTGCCTCTGCTAAATCCTTATTTATCGTGAAATGGTTTGGAAAAGTACAGGCCTAGCCTATTAAGTTTAGCTTTTTCTTTAGTTATTACTTTAAAATCCACAAAATAACTAAAAATGTACCTTGTAATTTTATAGATCCATTTAATTCTGGAATGTCATGTTAATGTTTCTTAATAGTAGACATCAATTTCATAATCTGGAGAAGGTGTATAGTCCCTAAGAGTAACATAGAAATGCTTGTAACGTCATTTCATATTTCTTCATTACAAGCCATGCTCAAAATGTGGTTTCTCTCAGTTTTACCATCAGACTCTCAATATTCAGGAACATGACTAAAAGCATGTACATGAAAGAATAGCAGTTAACAACTCTGGAAGTAAAGAAGCAGGAATAATGAGAATCAGGCAGTGCATTTATTGAGGTACATTTTCAGGCAGCCCTAGGATTAGTGATTAGACATTTATATAAACTCAATATTTGGAAGGATTCTATCAATTGTTCTTTGTATTTAAGCAGCAAAGGGCACTACTAACTCCTAAAATATAATGTTTTTTAATATCTATTTATTTGGATGGGAGAAAGTTTTTATATGTGCACTTTCTAGTTTCTGTTTTTATTTTGGTAATTATAGAGCAGTGGGAGCCTTTTAAATGTTATATCCTAAAATTCTGTGTTTATAGTAAACTTTTACAATGGCCAAGAGCTGAGTATGTTTTGCCAAATATAATTTGTGCTATATTATGTATTTAAACTCTGCTTTTATTTAATAATAAGATAACTTCTATAAAATGAAGCAGACTCTAGAAATTTATTTTGACTTAACTGGTTGTTGGTAAAATTTATCTTTAAGAGGAATTAGTTTGTGTCCCATGTATAGCTGTACAGATACATCTAGGTATGACATCAATTCCTATTTTTTTTAAAATATATTTTATTGATTTTTTACAGAGAGGAAGGGAGAGAGATAGAGAGTTAGAAACATCGATGAATCAGCTGCCTCCTGCACACCTCCTACTGGGGATGTGCCCGCAACCAACGTACATGCCCTTGACCGGATCGAACCTGGGACCTTTCAGTCCGCAGGCCGACGCTCTATCCACTGAGCCAAACTGGTTTCGGCCAATTCCTATTTTTTGATGTCTAAACTTGAATGGTGGGATTACATGTGATTTGTGTGTATATTTGTATGTTGTCATGTATCTATATGGTAAATAGTGCCAGTTTCTTTCAGTAGCACTGAAATTCCGTGTTGCGTGATATTTCTGTGTGGTATTGGGCTTACTTGTAAATGCATCTATACATAACATGTCTTGTAAATTTTGCATGCTACACTAATCTGTTAAATCTATCCCCTCTTCATTCAGAGCGTGCTGTCACGGTCCTTTAATTCCAATTTCACTGCTGTAAGCAGCTTTCACTGTGGCAGCTCTAGGGACCTGCATGGCAGCCAAGGCAGTCTTGCCTTTTGTGTTGCAGACGGAAGAGGTTCTGGTGGGCACATTTTCCGAGTGAGTACCTGCAGTAGACCAGTACTTTAGTGCACAGAGAGAAATAAACCCCACATTTTAATGTTTTAACGTTTCTGGAAAATAAAATTTGCTGTGGGGTTAGGTATCTTGTTACCTCCCAGTTCCACCATGGCTTAGTGCTAAAACTTGCTGCAAAGCTGATTTAGTCGTTATCTCTTAGGTTTCTATGGTCATAACTAAGGATGTAGTCAACTCTTTTTATGTAAAAATGGGTAAGCAATAGAAATAACTGAGAGGGGTTAAAAATTATTATTTGTAGTGCTTTCTCTCTTGAAACTAGCTTGCTCTCCCTAAACTCAAGATTTTAAGACTGTGCCATATGTAATCCACAGAGGAGTTGTGGGGAGCAGTAGTTTTCATGTTAGTGATTGAGTATTGGCCAAAAAAAGCACTAAGAACTAAGTGGAACTAAGTTTGATCATAAGTAGCTAAATATAAAAATTGAGGCTGAGAAATTGCAATAAGTACAATGAAAAGACAAAACCCAAATTCTTTATTACCCACATTTCAGCCATAGTCATTCGTGGTGAAAATGAAAGGTTTATTCTTTTAATAGTGAAAGGATAGGGTGTAAGAATAGCAGAGAAGGAGAAAGAACAGAACAACTCTGGCCTGGCTCTGTTTTAAGATTTTCTCTTCCTAACAACTTGAGGTAGTAGCATAGCCTCCAAATAAATATTTCCTCTGCCCCTCTCCTTCCATCCTGAAAAGACCTTTCTCCCTTATGACCTTATTTTATCCCCTCCCCAGTTTTATTTCCATATTGACTCTGCTTACTTTGGGGTGCTTTGCTTTTTCCTGAGCATCTACTCTCCCCATCCTCACCCCTTCTTAATATACTCCTGATTTGTTCTAGGATAGGAGCTTGGCTCTGACTGTGTCTCACCCATCTTGCTTTGCCTTCTGTCACCTGACACCACTTGGTTTCTATGTTATGTTATAGTGGCAGCAATCGTTTTGTAACTTACCAAATTGAAACAGGAAGAGAGAGGGTTCTGGCACTATTATAGCTGAAGTCAAAGTAAAGACAGGGGCCTTTATTAACTCAGGGGTAATCTTACAGTCATCTGGAACAATTGTTCTTTACAAATTCTTACACAGTAATATTTTTTGCTTGTTATTCTTAAATTCAGAGCCTTTGAGTCTGTTGTTGCATTTTACTTTTTCAATTATAATATACTTGTTCTTTTAAAGATTAAATAAACATAGTTGTACATTCAGGCTTGACTTTAAACTTAAGCTATGAGCTAAGTTGATTTTTATGCATTCTGAAAGCACAGCTGAAAATGGAGAAGAAAAATAAAGTTTTCATTTAATTAAATACACAAAATTAGACCAAAGTACTAAAAATGCTAAGCCATGGTTTGAACTAGCAATTAACTGTACATGATAGATCTGTTGCAGATACAGTTTCTAAGATTACATTATAAACCCTTGGGTTTATATGTATCCTATGGCATGTCATAATGAAGTAGATTCAAATTATTTTCGACATGATGATGTAATTTGCATATTTATATTGCTACCCATGTACTATTTTGAAAGTAAGTTTCTCTAGTTTTCTAAAATATAGCTAAGTGTATTTAGAATGAAATTAAAATGAAAATTTTAGGTATCTTGTATCCCAGTATATTTATAAGAAATGTTCAAGATAATGAAATTGCGTCTACTTTTAATCTAAAACTATCAGTGAGATAAGCTATAATATAAGGGTATCACTTGACATATAAAAATAGGAATTCTGGTTAGTTAATTTTAAAAGCATTTCCCCAAACCAGTGCTTTTGAAAATATGGAGCTGACTAATATTAGTATGATAAAATTAGGGTAAAATAAGTTTTATTTAGCGGTATGTTTATTGGTACTGCTCATCATTTAAAAGAAAATCCTCGGTGATACTATGCTGTTGAAAGAACATCAGGTAATTATTTTACCAAAAAACTTTTTGTGGTGCTCAACAGGAATATATTTTAGTTCCTCTTAAAATTTGGGACTCTTAATTGGATTAAGAGTGTGGCTCAAAGTGTTACAGCTAGCTGTTATTGTAAATAAAACTAAAAGCATTATAAAGAAATAACATTGTGTATCTGTATATATGTTTTATATATTACAAGAACAAACAGCCCTAGCCTGTTTGGCTCAGGGGATAGAGCGTTGGCCTGCGGACTGAAGGGTCCCAGGTTCAATTCCAGTCAAGGACATGTACCTGGATTGTAGGCTCAATCCCCAGCCCTGGTCAGAAAAAAAACAACAAAAACATTTTGCCATTAACTTTGGAAGATGACTAAAAGTGCTAGTTTTTTTTTTTCCAGTAAGAGATGTAATTGGCATAACATTGTATTAGTCCAAGGTATATATCTTGATAATTTGATATATGTATGTATATATTGCAAAATGATTACAATGATCAGTTTAGTTAACATCAGTCATAAAGGTACTCAGATTGATGGCAGTTGTGATGTTAATGTTTCATTTGGTTCTTCATCTTTCTATAGCGCTATTTTTTCCCTAATCTCTCAAGTGTCATCATCATTTGGTTGTACATCTTAAAGATCATTATTTCTTTATTTTTTATTTTCCCCTAATTTGAAGCATCCCCAGACATCCTGTCCAGGAGATCCTTGTCAAGATGATATATTCATTTCAGGACAGCACAACTACTCATCAGCTACACTTAGTCACAAAGATGTTCCTCCAGACAGCTTGAAAGTAGGTGCTCAGGAAATAAAGTGGTATCTGTGAGCTTACTATGTTTGTTGTTTTTGAACTAGAAATAGCATAGATGCTTTAACACTGAAAATACTTTTTTGAGAACTTTCCTTCCTTGCTTAGTTATTAGTAAGGATTTATTTTTAAAATAATTGAGAAATGGAAAATTGTATTCCGCTATTTTTCAATTTATTCCATGATTTTTTCCTACACTAGTGAATTATTTTGTTGTATTATTTTGTATGTCTATAGTATCACCTACTTATTTTATCATTTGAATCAAAGGGATTTTGGCATTCGTGATAAACCTATTTGAAGAGTTAAACTTGAACCTACCTTAAATTCTTCATTTGAAATTGTTTTATTATTACCAGAAGCATATTAAAATACTTTAAATGTAACTAAAAGTAATTAGACTTTTATATGTGGTAGAATAGATGATGGTTTATTATTATTAATTTTGTAGCTAAAGCGTCACTCATTTAGAAAGTTTATTTTTCTGTCACCAATGCCAGATAGATAATTATTTCCTCTTATTTTTTTTTTAAGATATATATTTTTTTATTGATTTCACAGAGGAAGGAAGAGGGAGAGAGAGATAGAAACATCCATGATGAGAGAGAATCATGGATCGGCTGCTTCCTGCAAGTCCCCCACTAGGGGTCGAGCCCACAACCCGGGCATGTGCCCTTGACCGGAATCGAACCTGGGACCTTTCAGCTTGCAGGCCAACGCTCTATCCACTGAGCCAAACCGGCTAGGGCGATAATTATTTTCTTTAGTACTCTCTTCTGTCCTTTCTCTTAACTAATTCCATATCCTAGTATAACCAGATATAATTATGAAGCATAGTTATATATGATATAAATTTTTATATTGTTCTTGAGAGTAGAAACCCAGCCACATAACATTTAACTTCATACATATCTGTCATTTTTTGGTTTTTCTTTTAGTTGAGCTCTGTTATCCAGTTTTGTTTTTTCATTTTAAAATCCATTGTATGGTTTAGGTTGCTGAGTTTGTTTTATGCTTTTTATTGCACTGAGCCACCTGTGTATTATACATAGCTTAATATATTACCCGAGTACGTTTAACATTGATGTAGAAAGTCAGGCACTAACAAGTATCTGGGTGTCAAGGAGCCTTAAGAATGGGTCACAAGTAATTATTGTCTGGAGAATTCTCCACAGGAGAAAAGTATTGAATTTGCACATAGGAAAAAAATGATATAAACATGGAGAAAAGCAAGTGCTGTCTACCGAGTTGTGTGTAAGTAATAAACAGCACAACTACTTAGGTACTCCTGGGCGAACTAATTGCTTCAAATCTACAGTGATCGAGTGGTAAATACCCAGTAAAAGACTTTTCAGGAAATACTGACATCTTTGTGCTAATACCATCTGTCATTAAACACTCGCATATGTTTCCAGTCCTCAGAATTAACTAGCTTCTCAAATATAAAACAGTGAAAAACAGGACTCTTTTAAAAAGTGAAAATCATCTTTACCAAAGCAAGGTTTACAAAGAAAAGCATTTCCAATTTTTCTACTTTTGGATAATTTTTAGGGAAATAGGGTTCAAATATTTCCCTCACAATTTTTCTATGATTTCCATGTGGATGAGGTCATCTTTTATTAATAATCAACAATGATGTTTTAAGTAACTGAATAGCTTAAACATTTATTTCCTCTTCCAATCAGAATCTCTTCACATGCAAATATTTACAATACAAATGTAACCTTATTTGCCAGACAGGTTCCTCACTAACAGAATAAGCTATTAGCCAAATGCTACAAGGTGATTTTAAATTCAGATTTAATCTCTAAAAATGAAAGGCGTTAAAACAGCGTTAAAACAGCCGTGGGCAAACTACGCAGTGGGCCGGATCCAGCCCGTTTGAAATGAATAAAACTAAAAAAAAAAAAAAAAACCTTTCCCTTTTATGTAATGATGTTTACTTTGAATTTATATTAGTTCACACAAACACTCCATCCATCCTTTTGTTCCAGCCCTCCGGTCGAGTTTAAGAACCCATTGTGGCCCTGAGTCTAAAAGTTTGCCCACCCCTGCGTTAAAACAAAGATAATTCTCTTAAAACACCAAAATAATCTCAAATATTTTGTTTAGCATGTGAAAAGTAAAATAGAATGTCAAAGTTTCGTTTTTGTAGTTACTATTCTATGGAATTAATATTTAGAGAGTTTTGAAATTGCTAACTGATACACAGCACTGCATAGCTGAATTGGCTTGTTAATTCTAGAAAGAAAGGAATAAATATAGAAAAGACATAGGCTTAGGAAAATATTCTACCAAAAAATTACTTTTGTTTTAAAGAAAAACCATTGGCAAAGGCATGTTTTATGTGCATGTGAGAAATTAAAGATAGTATAGGAAAAGATACCCTTTTAATGGGCTTACTTAAATTTAAGATTTTTGGCATACTGTTTACCATTTTAACATTTGGTTATGTGAGAATAATAGGTGCATTTATATCAGACAGAAAAGCAAATATTTTAAAATGTAGATATGATTTACTTTCATTTAAAATCTTTGAAAACTCATTCTATCATCAAGCACTCAGGCAAGTTTAGAATTAAAACATAAACGGGGTTTTTTTTAGTGTAAAATTAGAAAAACTAGTATAAGTGGCATGACACTGTGATTTAGAATGTTAACCTCTAGTGCTTTTGAAATGCTCCAAGAAGAAAATCCAATTATTTGTATTAAGACATCATTATTGGTCATTTTAAGACACTTCATGTTTTTCTTAGATGCCTTTGAGTAATGGACAGATGGGCCAGCCTCTCAGGCCTCAGGCAAATTATAGTCAAATACATCACCCCCTTCCTCAGGCATCTGTGGCAAGGCATCCCTCTAGAGAACAACTAATTGATTACTTGATGCTGAAAGTGGCCCACCAGCCTCCATATACACAGCCCCATTGTTCTCCTAGACAAGGCCATGAGCTGGCAAGGCAAGAGGTAAGAATGATCAAGAATATTTGAAATACGAGACTAAGCTTTTAATGTATTTTATAGATTATTTAATTATTAGCAATAAATTCATATAGAATTTTAACATAGTTTTTTTTAACCATTTTGTGTTTAAAGGTCTTGTTTCCTGTTAAGTTTATAAAGTGTTAAACTTTGTGTGTTTTTTTGACTTTATGACCCCAACCCCCATTCTCATTAATTGACATAAGATGTAGTGTTTTAGGCATGATTTTCTTTCTTTCCTAAGGTGGTTATTTTTCCCAAACTGATTGATGAAAGCAGACCTTCTTCAACAATATAAATAGGACATTAAACTTTTTTTAATATATATTTTTTTATTGTTAACAGTGTTATAGATGTCTCCCATTTTCCTCCTTAGACCATTAAGCTTGAATTGGCATGTTGTGGTTTGCTATGGTTATTTGACACTCGGCTTGTGAAACTTGACTTTAGTCTCCAAACTACTTTGAGAATTAAATCTTACAAAGTACTTAAAAAAAAAAGTTGCTAGTCATATAGTCATATATTTTGATAGCTTATTGATAAAATGATATTATTAGAAACTTAGAGAACAAATGCTTTATTCATTTTGGATCTATGGATTGCCCAATAGACAGAGATACTATGTAATGTAGATGTTTCATAAATAGAAACTAATAATGTACATGTTTTATGTGTATGCTATGTCTTTAAGATCCATGTCTAAAAATACAATAGGGTTAACATTAATTGGTTGCCTATTCTCATAAAACAGCAATAGATTAAGTTATGAGCTTTGCTTTATAATCCTAGCTGTGCCGTTAACTCACTAACTCATTAACATAATATTCCATGTCATAGTTTCACTTCATCTGCCCAGGTATTTGTTTTAGATGAATCCCTACGTAGTTATGTTTGTTTGTTACAACTTAATATACCAATACTTAACTATGGATGTTACTGTGTTGCAACTTACCTTATTTTGATATCTCAGATTCGAGTGAGAGTTGAAAAGGATCCAGAACTTGGATTTAGCATATCAGGAGGTGTTGGTGGAAGAGGAAACCCATTCAGACCTGATGATGATGTGAGTTTTATTTATATATTCTTTTAAAAACCCATAAAGTTTTATTCACTATTAATATCTATTATCCTATATAATAAAAGCCTAATATGCAAATTGACCAAACGGTGGAACAACCGGTCGCTATGATGTGCACTGGCCACCAGGGGGCAGATGCTCAGTGCAGGAGCTGCCCACAGGCCCCAGGCCAGCCGAGGCAGGTGCCAGCGGGGGCCCCCCGATTGCCCCCCTGGTCACCCCACAGAGGGAGGCGACTGGCAGCAGCAGTGGGGCGATTGGGGTGCGGGCTGAGGAAGGCAACTGGCGGTGGCGGCAGGGGGCCGGGCCAGTGAGCAGGCACTGCCAGGCCAGCCAAGGCAGGTGCCTGTGGGGGCCCCTGACCGCCCCACCAGTTGCCCTTCATATCGGACTTGATCACCAGCCAGGCATAGGGACCTTACCCATGCATGAATTTTGTGCACTGGGCCTCTAGTACATATGTAAAAATCTAACATGTATTTCTGTAAATCTAGACAGACACCTTTTTATTTCTTTCGGTATTGTTCAGCTTTTTGTTTTGAAATGTGATTGGTTTAATTGTTCAAGGAATATAAATTTAACCAAATATTTCAAATGTTCCTCATACTGTGAAGTGATTTTTAACTTCGTAATTATTTTTCTGTACATCTATAGAAGTAACTTCATCACTTAAACAGAAATAACTATACTGAATTGTCAGAGGCAAAAATAAAAATAATAGAGTTGGGTTGCCCTGCCACCAGCCTGCTCACCAGTGGGTGACAGGTTTGATCCCCACCCCCGCTCAGGGCACGTGTGGGAGGCAACCAATCGATATGTCTCTCTCACATGGATGTTTCTCTCTCTCTCTCCCTCCCCCTTTCCAATCTTTCTAAAAAAAAAAAATCAATGGAAAAAATATACTCACTCCTTGGCTGAGGATATAAAATAATAATAATAATAATAGGGTTGGTTGTCACGATGTTTTCAGAGAAGACAAGGAGAAATCCTTACAATTCAAATTTTTGCATACTGAGAAAGATTGCTTCTTGGTACTCTGTTATTTATGCATACTGCTTCCCATTAAGTAATTTTTTGTTGTTGTTATTAAAGGGTATATTTGTAACAAGGGTACAGCCTGAAGGACCAGCATCAAAATTATTGCAACCAGGTGATAAAATTATTCAGGTAACTAAGATACATCTTTTTATTATTTCCTTTATTTTTTACTTTGTAATTAATCTGCCTCCTCATCAAGAAATTATTAAATGCCTGATTTGAAAATAAGCATTTTATGAAGTTTATCTTTAAATATTTGTGGATAAAAAGAGTGATATTTTCTATAGGCTACTCTAATGCTTTCATAGTTTAAATAATTTCCACCTTGTACTGTGGAAAATCATACTGATACTTTTAATACATGTTTGATATATTTTAGTATTTTATTTTAGTTCAAAAATGGTAACTTCTCTAGAATAAGGTGATGAAAGAATCTTTGTTGTGTTAGGAGAATTAAAGTAGTTAATTCATGGAAGCACTTAGAACTGTGTGTCTGGCACACAGTAAGACCTCAGTAAACATTTAGCCTAAATTATAGGAAGTGTAGTGTTCTTGATCTGTTACCCCTGCAACTTGGTGGCTTTAATCGCATGGTAGTGCATACACACAACACTGACAGCACTGTGTCTTTGACAAATATTCCTGGCATTGGCTGTTATGTAGGAATCATCTGAAAATATAGGTTCCTGGATCCCACCTTCAGAGATTCTATTTTAGTGCTCAGGAGTCTCAATGTTGTTTTCAATTGCCAAAATCATTCTTTATTTTCTGCAAATAAATTACTATGAAATGTTTAGTTTTTTAAAAAATATTTTTCTTCTTTCTTCTAGGCTAATGGCTACAGTTTCATTAATATTGAACATGGACAAGCAGTGTCCTTGCTAAAAACTTTCCAGAACACAGTAGAACTCATCATTGTACGAGAGGTTTCCTCATAAGAACTGTGGACAAAAAGGGGGGGAAGACAGCAAGATTTATTGGAAGATATTTGCAGGGGAAATTAATATTTTGACTATTTTTATATATAAAGAAGAACTCAAAAAAAGTATGTTCAAATTTGTACATTAATGAAATAATGAAACTTGTGGCTAGAGGGAAAGAACCACTGTACAGTATATAGGGAAGACTGTTGAATTCAAACCATATAAAACTTCCTGTTAGGTTTTTTAAAGACATAGTAATCAAGGCTACAAAAACAAACGTATGTTGTTTTTGTATAGATTGTAGATTTATTTTTGGATTTCATATACAGACTGAACTCTGTGCAAGGCTCTTGTTAGCCTTGATTGTAGCCCAGAGACAGATGGCAGAGCTAGCTGTCTCATAGCTTTTATGCCCTTATTTTTATTCAACTGATTATTAATGTTTTTCTGCTGAAACCTTTTTTTTTTTTACTGTGGGCAAGAGATTTGAAGTGTTGGCTTTTGCTATGTGCATATTGAATCGAAGAGTGAGCAGGTGAAGGTGGTGCTGATGGGTTCACTTTCCAAGGCCTGATTAAGTTAATTCCTGTAAAAATCTGAAAGCAAAGAATGAAAAAACAGCTTTCTGTCCATGTGTTTTTATTAATAGAATAATGCAATAAAAAATGTAATGTCTTTTTAAAGAAATAAAAAAGACGATGATTGCATTTTATGAGCTCTACAGGATCTGTACTTGTCATAGACATTGACTACATAAATTTCCTACTGGTGATTCAATTTTCCATTTTTTAGTCACAGGAAATTTTAAACTCTACTGTAGATGTATGTCCATGCTTTTTCTGTGATATGGAAATCCCTTGTTTTCTTTTTTTTTTTTTTGCAAATGATATTTGCGATTTGTTTTATAATTAATACTCCATTTCAATCTTAATTTATAATTTTTATTTTAAGCAGCAAAGGAAACTAAAATGGCCAGTTTTAAGATTGTGTTGCTATGACACAAAATGTAAGAAGATTTAGGAAAGCCTCTTGCTTTTGTTTGGCCTCACATTGCCTTGGTAAAGTAAAAGGAAACAGTACGCATGGAGCTAGGAAACCAAAGCAAGTTTGTGAAACTGGCACAGTGATAGAGCATTGCTGTGGAGGGTTGTAGAGCAAAGGGATGGGTCCTTGGGGCCTACCAGTGTGTAAAGGTGTTCAAATAAAGGGCTGTTCCTACAGGTAACCTTAAATGTGAACTCGACACTTCAGAGTCTTTAAAGGGTTTCTAAGTGTGTCAGTGTAATAGTGTTTTACCACCAACTGCCTTTGTTGTCATTAGTGTAAGAAATTTTGGGTAGAGGTTTATTAATTTGTTTATCCGAACAAAATTTTGTTTTATTTTTCTGTATGTAATCAAATAAAAATTGAATAGCATTCAATGGTAAGAATGAATGCATGGATATTTGGACCATAAAAAAGTGCCATAGAAGACCAATAACTGTTTTTATTCAAGGCTGATCTAGAGCCTTTCATTAGAGCAATATTCAGTTATTGCAATTCATTTTTAATTACTAAGAAATATAATTTTGGAATTTTTAATATGTTATTCTTTGTTCTTCAACCGTGTTTTAATTAAGACTTTTATAGGACTAGCAAAAACAGCAATCGACATTATTTTGCAAAAGTGAGTTAGACTCATTCCTCTTACTAGTCAGAGTAACTTTTAAAAAGATGTGAACTCAAATATTGCACTTCTTTCAAGATGTTATCAATTGGTTATTGTACTGTATAGTTTTAATGTTGATTGAAACCCTTTAACAACTCTTTGTAAATTTTAACTCATTTTTGTTGATTTTCAGTACTATTTACATAGGAATTGATTTTTATGGATATAGTAGAAGAAATGTGCTGTATTTTGATAAAATTCATTTATTGTATGTGTGTTGTAATCTCTAAAAAAGAATGACAAACAGATTCTTTAAGATAAGCCTTGGTGTTCCCTTTATTCATAGTTGATTTTAAACTATTTTAGCATTGTAATTTTACAATGTAATTTCAATATATGTAATTTTACATTGTATTTCACATCAGTTTTATTGATTTAAATCAATTTTTCAGTCATTTTCTGCTTTTAATAGGAATACATAAAATAGATATAATTATTACATTTTCAACTACTTTACCTCGAATTAGATACACAAACTATAATTTTAGAAAAGGAAGTAAGCCACAAAGAACAATTGATTTATCAATGATCTAAACTTAATTGTCTGCTTTTATATTGAAATATTACAAATGCAGGTATTATTATATGCACTAGTATTTTTTCTACTCTAGTTAATTTAAAATATTTTTTAAATGTTCTTGTAACACAAAGTTGAATAAGGAAATTTTGTTACCAAGAGGAGTAACATGATACATGATATAATGTTAAAAACTAATAGCAAAAAGTTTTGCACTTAAAATAATAACTAAAGTTTTCTTCTAAAATATTGGAAAATTGAAATGAAATAACAAGGACTCTTCATTCAAATTTTTGTTTTGGTAATGATAAAGTTTCAAAATTTAAAAGAGTAATAATTCAAATCTTTTGAGGACATAGAAAGGACATTTTTAGTTTTTTTAAAGGTGAGTGATTTACAGTCAAGGCCTACACCCATAACAGACTTTATTTTAATAAGTATCATGTAACAAACCATCAAAACTTTCTTATTTTTAGTAACAGTGTTTAAAATTGACTACCCTAAAATTTTAAACCATTAAAAATGTCATGTTAAGGGTAATTTACTCAGTACAGAATTGTACCCATAAAACTAAAGTTTAACGATTCATTAAAGAATCGTTAGTTTACCAGAACCATGAAATTCTAAAATTCCCTATGTATTTATTTTATAAATTTCTTCTGACCTCTTTAGAATTAAATGTTTATATACTTTTAAAAAATTTAAACACAAATATTGCTATAAATTGAACTAAACTTTTAAGCATTAATTTGCTGTTTAAAAAAAAAATCCCATTAGCAGCTATGTAATATTTTTGTCAACATTTATAAAACATTCCAAATTTTTGTATATATCTAGATTGTTTTAAGTAACCACAGTGACTAGGTAATAAACTAATGCTATTTAAAGTTGTGTGATTTTATGAAATTCAGGGTGAGAAGAATTGTCACAAAGAGAAAGATATACAATTATTTTCTTTGACCACTGAGAAAATCTATTTCTGGGTATGGAGAAAGTGTTGTATTTTACTTTAAAGGAAGCCAGTGGAGTATGAAATATTTTTCAGTTAGTTTGAAATTGGTGATCAATCGAATCTACTTGGAAGGATATTTTTTTCCATTCTTTTGAAATTCTTATTAGCTTATTTTTGTTTAAGGTATATAGATTTCTTATAAAAGAGATACTGAAATCAAAATTAAAATAATTTCATGTTTCATCAAAAGCATAAATACACGTAGTTGATGATGTACAAAGGGAAAAAGATCACTTTTCTTTAAAAAGGTAATATAGATTATATAGGCAGCCAGTTCAAACGGTTAGGTTCAGGAAAGGTTGGCACGTTTCTTTACCTCTGTAAAACTTGAAGCCCTGTGGATAGTAAGCATCATTACTCAGTTTTGGAAAACTCTTAAGAGAATGCTATCTTCTTTTTAGTATGCATTCTCTTTGTGAAGTTACAAAATAAGTTTATGGTCTCCAAAAATATACAGTCCCAACAACATCCAAGCATCTGAGAAACTTTCTAAACAGAGCTTAGGGGAAACACCTCGGTAGAGCTTAGGGAAAACACCTCGGTAGAATCTCCTTGGGGTTTGTTTTTGTTTTTGTTTTGTTTTATTTTAATCTTTATTGTTGAAAGTATTACATATCTCCCACCCTCACCCCCACCCCAGGCCTTCAACACCCTATTGTCTGTGTCCATATGCATACAAGTGTTCATTGGTTGATCTCTTCCCACCCACCTCCCCTGCCTTCTCCCTGAGTGTTGGTGAGGAAGTGGAGAAAAGGGAATCCTTGGGTTTTATGTTCGAGAACAATAAAGCGGTTCCTGAACATTTCCATAGAATTGTTAGGAAAGGGCTGGCAAAAATGATCCTGCTACTATAATTACCTTTTCAAATAAACAAAACACCTAAGGAAAGTTCCGATCTCCCATTGGATTTCACGTGGCCCATCTAAGCTGCTCATTTGCCCTCGATTTAATTTCAGGATCAAGTATGAGAAGCTCATGAATGACCGCTAAGGGAAGAAATCCAAGCTATAAAATTATGTTCCCCAGCCCCACTCCCCTGAATTCAATAAAGCTAATTTTATTTTGCATGAAAATTAAGTCTAGAAATATTTTTCATTACCTGACCTTCCTTTAGTTCCTCCAAAGCAAGGCTTTAGAAACTTATTAATTTTTTTGAGAGGGAAAGGGTTTTTGAGAGGGAAAGGGAGAGAGAAACATGGATCAGTTGCCTCCTGCACATACCCCGACTGGAGATCGAACCTGCAACCTAGGTATGTACCCTCACCAGGGAATTAACCCACAACCTTTCGATGCACAGGACAATGCTCCAACCTGCTGAGCCACCCGGCCAGGGCTAGAAGGATCTTTTTTTAAATGAGCTTTTTTCAATTAATTTCCTTGTTCAAAAACAAACTAAAGAAAAATAAGCTAGCCCTAGCTGTTTTGGTTCAGTGGATAGAGTATCGACCCACAGACTGAAGAGTTCCAGGTTTGATTCTGGTCAAGGAAACGTACCTCAGTTGCAGACTTGATCTCTGGCCGTGTGTGGGAAGACAGCCAATCGATGCATCTCTCTCACATAAATGTCTCTGTCTCTCCACCTCCCTCTCTTTCTCTCTAAAAATCAATGGAAAAGTATCCTTAGGTGAGGATTAACAACAACAACAAATAGAAACTAAACAATGTTATGTGTTTTTACCAAAAAAAAATTTTTTTAAATCACAGGGATCTCTCTCTTTTATTTATTTGTTTATTATTATTTTTTAATATATTTTATTGATTTTTTTACAGAGAGGAAGGGAGAGAGATAGTTAGAAACATTGATTTAGAAACATCGATCAGCTGCCTCCTGCACATCTCCCACTGAGGATGTGCCTGCAACCCACGTACATGCCCTTGACCGGAATCGAACCTGGGACCTTTCAGTCCGCAGGCCGACACTCTATCCACTGAGCCAAACCGGTTTCGGCCAGAATTTTTTTAAAAGTCAGGTCCAAAGGCAGAACCTTATATTTATTACTATTGAATTTCACTTTCTAAGATGGGGTTTACCATTTGTTCCTATTAGGATCTTTCTGAATTGTTCTGCCAGCTAATGAAGTTGCTATTGCTTCTAATTCCTGCACTCCACAAATACGATGCACATGCCCCTTCTTTTCCGTATAGGCCATAGAAAAATGCATCAAGTTTTATTAATAATCCCTCTTGCATTCCAGTGTAGCATTCATAGGTTCTCCACTTTAAACAAGAGCCTCACCCTAGATATGCTCTCATTGTCTCTGTCCTGGAGATCTTGTTTGAAGGGCAGGCACCAGTGAGATTTCCTCACATTTCAGAGGACACCCCAGGTTGACATCACCCACATATCCACCTCTACAAAGAAGGTCACCTCCTGTCTCCAGCTGCTGCTCCTGCTGCTGCTTTTTTATTCACTCTGAGCAGGACACAGGCTACCCAACTGTCCCCTCCCCAGCTGTCTTGAATTGCAGATCTATTTAACTAATACTGTTTGGGAACTAAGGAAGTTCTCATTTCTAATTTGTGAAGCAGGGATAGTAATAGTACCTAGTAAATAATTAATGGATGGCAGTTACCAACAAGTTATCAAAAAAGAAAAATTCCCTTTTCATAATGTAAAAGTTTTTATAGCTAGTATCAGAGAAAAAGATGATAAAATGGAGGATCCACAGGATCGAAGGGATAGGAGGCAGATGCCAGGCCTTCTCTAAGCGAGAGACTTGAAGCAAGAGAGCTGCTCTTCCGTTGACCTTGAAGAAGCTCCTTACTGTGAACTGCCAGTGGAGATGGGCAGTTTCTAGTAGCTGAGGGCCTTAGTTCTACAACTGCAAGGAACTGGGTTTTGCTAACAACCTGAATAAGTTTGGAAGAGGACCCCAAGCTCCAGGTGAGCACACAGCCCAGCTGCATTGACGGCAGCCTGAAGGACCCTGAGCAGAGTTCCCAGCTAAGCATGGATGGATGGACTCCTAATCATCAGAAACTGTGAGGTAATGCCCTAGCTGGTTTGGCTCAGTGGATAGAGCAATGGCCTGGGGACTGAAGGGTCCTGGGTTTGATTCCAGTCAAGGACATGCCCAGGTTGCAGGCTTGATACCCAGTAGGGAGTGTGCAGGAGGCAGCTGATCAATGATTCTCTTTCATCATTGATGTTTCTCTCTCCCTCTCCCTTCTTCTCTGAAATCAATAAAAATATATTTAAAAAAGAAACTGTGAGGTAATATGGGTTGTTTGAAACTGCTAAGTTTCTGGTCACAGCAGTAGAAAACTAAAAACAACTAGCCATAGTTCAGTTTCTACTTGCATTCCCCATGGCCCCTCTAACTCAGAGCTAGAGTGGACCCTGTCTGAGAGCCTAAAACCCCAGCCTTGGTTTTGTGTCTAGAACCCCATTTTGAAAGTCCCTTCCCCAGACCCCACTCCCTTCGTTCAGACCCCCTTGGTTAATACTGGCCCTAATGGGACTTGTTAGATTTGGTGATAGGAAGAGCACTCCACTCCCTTCTGTCAGACCTGCGAGCACCCAGAATACCTGGGAAAGGTGTATAACAAAACTATTGGTGTCATGCAAAGGATTGTATTCTGAGGACAATAGTGAGTGATGCAAGTGATTTGACTTGAACTTCATAAAGTTCACTCGTGAAAAATGGATGTGGTAGCAGTAGCTGGGGTAAAAAAAAATACCCAAAAACTTAGATTTAGTGACATGTTTAGAAGGTATTGTAAAATCCAGAATAGAGATAATACTGGCAGAAGCCACGATACTGGAATGCCAGATTAATAAGGTACAGTGGGGTAAGGAGGCAGTCAGGGTGGAGGAATTAAGAGTGACTCCCAAGTTGTGGCTGGATTTGAAGGATAGGTGGTGATGCCACTAGTTGACCTCAGGAATAGGAAATGCCTTACACTTGCTTAATCTGGAGCATTGAAAAATCCCACCCGGCGCTCAGGAGAAACTGGTGAGAGAGAGAAAGACCGAGGGCCTTCAGTCTATTTTGTTATGATGATAACTGGATGCCAGGAGCTAGTCGTCTTCATGCCTTTTCTGAACTCCAAACTTTCCTATTCTTTGATACTTAAAATTTACACCACATAATTGATTCTCATATTGTTATGTGTATTATTTAGTCTTATTTCCAAAATTATTGGGAACTCCATGATGGAAGAATCTTTTATATCCACTCCAGTGTTCTGGGTATGCAGTAGGTACTGAACACAGTGGAAAGGACCAGTTGTTACCCTGGAATTTTACATTTCATCCACATAAGGAGAGAAAACAGGCCAAGAGGTCAGACATATGAGGGAAGTTGTGCAGGGTCTGTTAGGCCATTGTAAAGATGATTTTGGCTTTTACTCTGTGGGAGAGAGTATAAAATGAAAGTGTGAGAAGCCCGTTGCTGACTTGCAGCATAACTAGCTTTGAAAACAAAAGCTTTCTCATGTACATATTAAAAGTACTCAACATTTGAGTTCAATAAATGTTGTGGGTGATGAATAAATTCTGCATGTGCTGTTCAGATGGTGATATAGTATCATATAAATAGTAACATTTCACATTAGCAATATTCCCTGGCATGAACATGCATTCATTGAAAAACCAACAGCCATCTGTCAAAAGTGAATCCTAAATTGGCTGTTTGGCCCCATATGAGGCTATAATGAACCTACTCTCGACGTTTAGAAAAAATAGTTGTCTTCTGACTGGCAAATCCTGGTGGCACTTCTTTAATTGATAGAGGTGTTATCAGCACCGTATGCTAGAGCATTAACCAACTCCTGCCGTCAGACTTGCCTACTCTTTGCCAAAAATCCCATCTGTTCTCCATCCTCAGTTTCTCCCCAACCCAAAAGCATGTTTGTTATCTTTAGGAACAAAAA